AAAAAAAAAACAAACAAAAAAACACACAACAAACAAAAACCAAAGGTCTAACAAACCCCCTTTCCAAAAAACCTCTAAAAAAATATTCACAGCCTCAAACAGTTTTGTACATTTCAAGCAACAAAAGGTATAGAAAAAGGCACAAGTAACTGCATACATGTGGAGATATAATACCAGACTGGGACAAAGAAAACCAGGACTTTTCCATGGGTTTGGTCATTCACTAGAGTGCTCCTTATCGGTGATTATACTAAAGGAAATAGTGTTGAAAATGTCTGCTGATTTTACAGAGGAAGCCTAAAGGCGGAACAGACGGAGGTTTTTAAGTACTTCCCGCGTTTTCATCCACCTTTTTTTGAGTCTGACCTAAATCTGCGTGCTCTGGGTGGGGGCTGCTCTGGCCGGAGGTGCCCCCCGGGTGCCCGGAGAGGCTCCCGGTGCGCAGGGAGAGGGGATGGCTGGGCGGGGGCTCCGGGGGGCAGTCGTCGTCACACGGTGGGGCATCTGAGATGAAAGTGCAGGGTGACTCAACAGAAGTGCTCGAGCTGCCAGATTGCTTCTTGCCCGTTTGTTTTGGGGGTTCTTCCTCCCCGCTCGTCGGAGGCTTTGGACGGTGCTCGTGGGGCGTGCTGGGGCTGGCCGGGCCCGCCTGCTCCTCCGGGCTGGGCTCAGCCAGCGCTTTTACCCTGTGTTCCTCCTGCTCTGTCTGCTGCTGAAGCTCATTAGTCCTCATTTTCTCCTCCAAATAACCCCCACTGGGCTCCGGGGACAGCGTGTACTTGGAAACCTTTGCAGCCGCCGGGATTTGTGGCTCCTCGTCCCCCTCGGGAGCCCGGCCGAACTCCACCACATCTCCGCTTCCAGGGGCGAAACACCCGGCTTGTAGGGACACCACGGAGCCCGGCACCAGGCTGGGGTGGGAGCTGGGCCTGGCCTGCACCATCTGGATGCCCCCGATGGGGATCATGGGGTACGGGGTCCTGGTGAGCTGCTGCGAGTGCAGCGGGAGGTGGCTGAAGACGTTCTCCTCCCCTCGGCCCGGGCCGTGGATGTCGTGCGGTGCCTGCAGGGGCCGGGAGCACACGGGCTGTGCGGGGCCAGGGGAGCGGGGTGGGCTCCGGGGCTCGATCTTCTGCGCCAGAGAGGGAAGAGAAAGAGCGGGATCAGTGCGGGGAACGAGTTACAGCTTCGGCATCGCTAACGCTCGCCACGAGGACGGGGTTTGGCGTTTCGTTCTGATCGATCGACCGCGCGAGACGCGGAGCTCCAGACCTTTAAGGAGAGGAGCAACACAAGCCCACAGCATTTGCCTTCTGGGCACAGATGTGTCGTGGTCTGCTGGGGCACAGACCCAGGGCTTTGGCTTAGGCTTGGATCACTGTAAAATCAGAAGTGGTTCGGGTTGGAGGGGACCGTTAAGGGCCATCTAGTCCAACCCTCCTGCCACAGACAGGTTGTTCCAAGCCCTGTCCAACCTGGTTTTGAATGTTCCAGGGATGGGTCATGTACTACCTCCCTGGGCAGCCCGTGCCAGGGCCTCATCACCCTCCTACTAAGAAATTTCTTCCCTGTATCTCGTCTGAATCTCCCCTCTTTCAGTTTAAAACCACCACCCCTCGTCCTCCTCTCAGAGCTGCCTCTGAAACCCCGGCAGAGGATGGCAGTGGTTGCTGACATCAGAGCTGCTCAGGAGCCCTTTTCAGCCCTTTTCCAGCACTGGGTTCCTGAGAGCCTGGACTAATGTTATTTATTTTTTACTGCACTCTCTTAGAGCAGGATTGCACCCTCACAGCTGCTGATTGCAGGGATGCTTCAGGCCGAGCGAGAGGCATCATCAGCTCTGGTTTGACCAAAGCACACCCAGTGTGGCCCCACCAACCACCCTTATGGGTGAGATTTTCTCTCGAAACCAAGGGTTAAGGCCCTACAATTTTACCTTTTCCTCTTTCTCTCCCGGTGCTTCCCATAGTTTCCTAATGTACATCATGGAGAGATATGGGGCTAAACAGAAAGGGATTAATTAGTGATGAGGTCACAACTAAACCCCTACACAGGACTCCCAAGAAGGGGAAGCAACAGAAACTAAAATCAACTTTCCATTGAGATGGGGATCAGTGATAAAACAGGAGGATCCACTTAATTTCTTTGTAGGATTATGGAGAACAATCTCCTGACCCTGTGAGCTGGATCTCTCTGAAGAGGTGACAGAGGAAAGCAGCAAAAGAGGGCAGAGAGGAGAAAAAGCAAGAGCCACCAAAGGTGGTGGGTACTTGGTCAGCCCAAACACTTGCTAAAGGTCACTTATCCACATGGAGTCTTGGCCAAATCACTGTAGGGGTGCTGGGAACCCCCAAACAAATGATCTTAATGGTGCAACAGCCACCAGAAGGGGGAACTGCCTTCTGCAAGGGAAGAGAGATGGTCGTGGTGGGACTTGACAGAAAGCTTGACACTGAAACTAAGCTAAGAGCATCTTCAAGCTCTGTTTAGGATCTGATAAATCCACCTCTGGTCTTTCTGCCTCTTGTAGCCTTACCAGGAATGTAATTTTTTCAACGAAAGCCCTGCTGTCCATCTGGCTGAGATGTGGGAAGTTTTCCATTCAGGTCTTTTTTGTTGCTTTGGAGACACATGAACAAAGTAACTCTGGAAGGATGAAAGGAGCAGGAACAGGGAGTAAAAAGGTGTTTGAGAAGAAGCTGAAAGGTGAGAATGGGCAGAAAAGCAGGATCTTATTATCTCCTGCTGTGGGCTTGGAAGCTTAGGGGAGTTGCTCAAAGTAGTGGCAGCAGGCAGTTGTCCTGACAGAGATGCTTCAGGGTGGAAGGATGGGGGTTTCCTGAGCCCTGAGATTCCCCCCAAGGAGTTAATTGACAGGAAAGGGAAATAGCATTAAAGGAAGCAAAGGTTTGGACCTAAAGGAAAGGACAGTCTCTGAGAAGGTGAGATAAGGAAGCAGAAGGAAGGCAGCACCACGAGAACATCATCATGGACATGGAAGGAACGCACAGGGGCTGGTCTGGAGAGGACCTGGGCCAGCATCTGCCATGGCAAGTTCTCCAGGGGCTGTGGAAAGGTCTCTCTCTTCCCAGTGCAGCCCCTAAGGGCTGGAGTCTCTCCTCACACCAGTGTCACAGCAGGGCAACTCGTGTTCACCAGCACAGATTACAGCAGAGCCAGGCACCCCAGAGGGATGGGGAATGTTCCACCACACCAGACATTAGCCTGCATGGAGCAGTGGGAGGAACGTGCCACTTTCCTTTACCCGTAGGAACTGTTATGTCCAGCAGAAACATTAAATAGTTTTCTGGACCCAGTGGGAAACACCTCTCTGTGCTGAAGAGAGAAGCGAGATGAAATCAGAGATGTCCAAACAAACATTGCTCAGCAGTTCATCTAACAGAGGTCTAACACGGCCCAGGAGGCAGCAAGGGCTGTTTCAGATCTGGTTCAGGTCACTGACCAGTGAAAAACTGGCACAGCTTCCCCCCCCAGCTGGGGAGATCTCAGGGAGGGGTTTGAAACTCCCAGGAACAAAGAGGCTCTTAGTGACAATTAGTCACTAAGTGGTTGTCCTTGCTGCTTGTCTCAGCAGGACACAAGTTGGGTCAGGAGTGGAAATAACCCCTTGGAGAAGGGACAGCTTTATTTCCCTTCAACTGAGAAGGGCAGGACCCAAATGGGTGCAAAGCCCATTGCACTGTCCCTTTCCTGTGACATTGGTGACAGAGTCACCGTGCACTTGGCGTGACGACCTTCCTTAAATGCCACCTCACAGAACCTTCTGTGGGGTCTGGGAGGCAGGAGGGGACTGAACTTACCAGCTTGGACTCGTAGAGCTGTATGTTTTTGCCAAAGAACCTGTGAGGTAGAGGCATCGAAGATAATATCCCGTGCTGGGCTTGATATGAGCTTGGAACTTTGTCATCCGCCGCTGATTTGCTCGCGCCAGGCAAGTCCTCCTTCCCTGGGAACGGGCACCTGGGTGACTCCAGGGAGCCTGGAGACAAGGCTTTCTTCAGGGATAAGTATCTGACCGATGACATGTCTCTGCTGGGTGATGAGTGTCTCCCAGGGGAGACCTCTCCTTCTGGGGGAAGGTGTGTTCGTGGGGACAGCTCTCTCCTGGGGGACAGATGCCTGCTGGGTGACAGCTCCAGCCTCGGTGACACACATCTGAGAGGAGATGCCTCTCTCCTGGGAGAGACCCGCTGGCAGGGAGACAACCCCCTCCCTGGGGACAGGCACCTCAGAGGGGACAGTTCTGCAGTGGGTGAGAACCTCTTGGGAGACGTTTCATTTTTGGTTAACAAGTGCTTTCTGGCCATCACTGGCCTGCTGCCACTACCACCCCTGCCAGAGTCCTGGCTGGGAGACCACCTTCTCCTTGGGGAGGTGTCTTTTGAGGTTGACAGGTCCATGGCCAAGGACATCTGTGGCCTGGTGACGGACTCTCTTTCAGCAGGAGCCAGTTGTTCGGTGGAGGTCAAAGCTGGTCTGTGGAGACTCAAGAAGCTGTGGCACACAGCAATGTCACTGCTGTCTGCTGACCACTTGGCTTCCAGCCCCGAGGAGGAGGCCTGCTGGCCTTCACCTGCTTTTTGGGTGCTGGAAACGGTCTCTTGGGCTAAGGATGTTGCTGTTTCAGTGCCTTCCTCTTGAGAAGATGGAGAGCCACCTGAAGAGCGCAGCAGGAGGGTGGTGTGCATGCCTTCAGGCAGCTTCAGAGGGGGCTCATCTTGGCTCTCCTCTTCCTCCTCATCCTCCTCATCCTCATTGTCGTCATCATCGTCAGATTCCTCGAGGTCTGAAAACTGGTGTTCCTCAACTGGCTCGGATCCCTCCCGCCCCTCAGAGTCCTGGAATAGGTCTTCACTGGTTCCTGGGGGGATGGAAAACACAAAAGAGTGTCACACACACACAGGGTCTGTGCTAAACCTGCTCACAGGTTCTAAGGGCACAAGAAGAGAGAGGACCTGGCTCTTTTCTGCATCAGTCCTGCCCTCTGTGCCAACTCCACTCCCAGTATTCCCAGTAGACCCCAGTGAATCCCACCACTGGGACCTCCTGCTCGACCCCAGTCTCAATTCCAGCCATTGCTCTGTCAACACAAACAGAAAAAGGCCTTTAAGAGATGAGGGAAACACCAGCACTGTCCCCTTTGAGTGGGGGTTTTTATGAGGTTTTGTTGCAATGGTGTCTCCAAAATAACATCAGAGTTCCCCATCTCCACGTGTTGGACCTTTTCCTGCCTAGATTTCCTGACAGTTAAACACCAGCAAGACAGACCTTTTACTAAAAATGAAACAACAGGGTTGACAGAACCCCTGTGGATTTTCTGTACGTGGAAGGCCTTGCAGGGGGATGCTTTGTAAACAAGGGCTTGTAAACACTGAGGGAGATACAAAAAGCAAATTCTAAAAGGTTGTAAATATTTCTGCAGGTAAAAAAAAAATACAGCATCTCTCTCCTGCTCTGCGGGCCAGCAGGAGCCTTCAGAGCTCAGCAGGAGCTCCGGGGCAGATCCCTGCTGGCTCCCCCTCTGCTCTGCTCTGCTCTGCACAGACAAATCTGCTCCTCCCCGGCCAGATGTGCAGCGATCCTGGCAAAGGGCGAGCTCAGCCCCGAGAGGTCCATCGGGAACAGCCACTGGATGTCACTGCAGCTCAAGGAACTGCTCTGCCAGCAGGCTGCGAGTCTGGAGGGGCCGATAATCACCAGTTTACAGAGCTCTGCCTGCGCCGAGCACCCAGAGGAGGGGGCAGAGCTGCTGGGACACGCTTGGCCCCTGGCTCTGGAAGCCTGGATGCTGCTCTGGCACCTGTGTGGAACTAATTGCAGCACTGCTGGCCCCTCTCCCCACCAGTTCAGCCCGGGACACTGTTCCCCCTCTGCTGAGCAGTTTCCCTTTCAGAGCTGCCATCTGTCAGCAGGAGCAGCCAAGGGAGCTGATCCCGAGATCACCTGGGAGGTGGCTTGCAGAGGGGACACAGCCACACACCAAGAACTCCCTCTGATCCATGAATAAAACATCTAAGTTTGTTTATTTTGAATACCAGGGCCTTACTAAATGCTCGGGAAGTATTTGGCATTACCAGCGACAGGCACTTTCCCATGGCCGATGATCCGTCCAAGAGCCAGCCTGAAAACTGAGATGGAAAGGAGCTTCTCATTCGCTTCCCATCCCATTCCAAGGTATCTGTTAACTGGCCCATGCAGCCAGAACTCTGCCAGCGTGGAGGGAAGGGACTGCTTCTCATGGACAGCTCAGCCTGCCCTGCAGAGCCCTCCACAGCGCTGGGCTGTTTGCAAACTCCCCAAAAGGAACTGAGCTCAGAGCAAACACGATTCCAAACAAGCAGCTCTCCCAGCTGCAGGGTGAGCCCTGCATATTTCTGGCCTGGAAGAGGAATGTGCTTCCCCAGCCGAGCCAGGAGCCAGCGGGGTTGGACATCTCGAGGGGTTGGGGGCAGGCAGGGCCTCACCCATGGAGAGCCTTGCCCTGGGTGGGCTCAGTTTCTGGCCCCAGTCACACAAGGGATGGGCACTGGTCGAGGTCAGGAGTGGGGAGTGAGGGGAACATGAGGCCAGTTTGCATTTGCCACCACGGGAAAGGTTTCAGTGAGTCCTGGGACGGCCCCCAGGGAATCCGCCTTGGCCTCCTGACACAATTCCAGCAGGCAGGAACAGAGCTCAGACCTCAGTTTGGGCTTCTGGCAACCCAAATCCATCTGCTGAGCTCATGGGGAGAGAAAGGGCAGGTCAGGAGAAGACAGAGAGAGAGGGAGGGAGGGATGGAGGAAGGCAGAGAGAGGGAACTAGTGGGAATGTGTCCTGTCGATGGCTCTGGCTGACGGTTCCATTCCACTTCATTTCCATTTCATTTCATTATTTATTCCAAGGTTATTCCACCCAACTGGTAGCAAAACCAAGGCAGGAGTGAGGAATTAGACTCCAATCTCCTTTTATAGTAACACCCCTTGCTTTCTTCTGCCCCTTAAATAGAAATAAAAACAATCAAGTGAAATATAACCCCAGTTTAAAATAATCCAGGGAGTTTTAGGAACTGCTGCTCCCCAAAGGAAAGCACAGCAACCTTCCTGCTCTGCCTTGTGTCACGTGGAAATTCTAGTCCTTTTTTTGTTATTATTTTTTAATTAAAATAGTCCTTTAATTTCTAGTTCTGAGCCTCTTTGCAAAGAACAGAGAGGATACTGTGGCTACTCTTTGGCTACTCTGAGAGCAAGGAGTGTGACACAGCTGTGAGCTCTGATTTCTCATGCACCTTTCTGCCATTTTTATGTTATTTTCTCATCCATCCAAATAGCCCCAATCATTACAGTACAGAATCCCATTTTCTGACCATCTTCCTGGCTGCTTTAGTTACTGTTTACTTGACATTTGTGAGCAATGGGCCTCCTTGCTCAGGGAGCAGAATTTCAATTTTCAGTAGAAGTTCAGAGTTGGCTTTAACCAGGTGAAAAAGAAGCTTGGAGGGGAGCAAGGAAACATCCCCTGATCCCACACCTTCCCAAGTGCACCTTTCTGCATTCCTGCCTGGCAGCCCATCCCCTTTACACAAACACAAGGGATCTGCCTCAATGGGAGGGAAGACGGACTTTGTGTTTTTATTTTTTTTTTTTTTTTCAATTCTAAAATTACATGGATTTCTTGCATAATGCAATAAATTCCAGACAGCACAACACATTCCAGGGGCAGCCTCCCAGCCAACAGCAACATGGGGAGGGGAGTCCCTTCCAGGAACCCTGTGCAGGCAGGTGGGGCTCAGCACGTGCCCAGCCTCAAACACCCAGGGATCGGTGATTTCCTGGTGCCCAACACCAACTGATGGTCCCATCCCTCACCTGGGGATGCCCACGAGCCTTTCTGGGGATTTTTGGACCTTCTCTCCCCACAAGGCCAAAGGCTGAGAGCAGCTCAGCCTCATCCCCTGGCAGGGCTTTCACACCCAGGGGGATTTTCCCCACTCTCACCCTGTGTGCCCTGGGGGTGAATGGCTCTGGAATCACAAAGGAAAACATTCCCCTGGCCTGGTGAAGGGAGCCCTGGAGCTCCAGTTCCACGGAGCATAAATAGGATGTTGGATTTTCAGGTTTGCAGCAGTGACACTCAATTAATGTGATTCATTAGTTCCATAATGGAAAGGTTTAAAATAACAGTTGTTCTTTCAGAATTATGCAACCAGTATTTCAGAGCCACTTTCCTCTTTCCCTAACCAGCTTTGATTATAGAATCATGAATGGTTTGGGTTGGAAGGGACCTTTAAGATCATCTCATTCCACCCCCTGCCATGGGCAGGGACACTTTCCACCAGCCCAGGGTGCTCCAACCTGGCCTGGGACACTTCCAGGGATCCAGGGGCAGCCACAGCTTCTCTGGGCAACCTGTGCCAAGGCCTGCCCACCCTCACAGCCAACAATTCCTTCCCAATCTCCCATCTCTCCCTGCCCTCTGGCAGTGGGAAGCCATTCCCTGTGTCCTGTCCCTCCATGCCTTGTCCCCAGTCCCTCTCCAGCTCTCCTGGAGCCCCTTTAGGCCCTGCAAGGGGCTCTCAGGTGTCCCTGGATCCTTCTCTTCTCCAGGGGAACCCCCCCAGATGCTCCAGCCCTGGAGCATCTCCTTGACTTCAGTGACCTGCAGAAGTGTCACCTACATGTGGTGTAAGAGCAGGGAGAGACTTCTGGGCACCATCAGTGAATCAATTATTTAAAGTGAGTTCCTGGGCTGAAAGATTTTCCCAGCAATCCCACACGGGATCAGCCTCCCCCTGCCACTGCTGCCAGCACAGCAAAGCTTTAATATCCAAAACTTCAGACATAAAGCACCTTGGAGGTGCCAGTGGGCAATGCCTGGTGGGCACAGTGTTCCCAGCCCTGTGATACCCTGGCACCACCCCAGCACAAGGAGCTGCAGCTGCAGCAGAGCCAACCCTGTCCTGCAGGGAAACACAAAGTGATTTATAATCACCTGTGGAGGAGGAGTGTGTGACACTGCCCGTGTCCCAGGAACAGCCTCATTCCCAAGAAAGCCTGGGATGGACCTGCCCCCAGCAGGGGAGCGGGGTGACAAGCAGTGTTTGTTGTTCCTGGCCAGTTCACATTCCCTGGCTCCCACTCCAGGACTGGCTCAGCTGATGTTCACTCGACAAAAATAACCCTGGCGCCCTGTGATTGCTGGAGCTCATTTTAACCCTTTGCCAGCAGCCCCTGGTGGGCCATGGCAGGATGAGAACCAGGCACGGGGGAACCAAACTCGTCCGGGCTGAGACAGGGAGTGAAACAGGGAAAAAGCTGCTGAAGTCATCCAAAAGGGCTGCTTTCCCACTGGGATTGCTGGGCTGGCAGCCAGGAAGGGGCAGTGGTGTTGTGATCATGCAACACAAACAGAAACACCCCCCCACCCAGGAATAACTTCACTGGCACAAAACAGTGCTGTGGGCTCAGTGCCTCCAGAATTTGGAGCAGCCTGGGATCAGCCACACACAGGAAGTTGGACAAGTCCCTACAAGATGATCCTGGTGGAAAAGTCCTTCCCTAAGGGCCCTTCCAGGAGAAAAGTATCACCTGTGCTCCCAGAGCCTTTTCCCCTCGAGAGCTGTGCAGTGTTTCCTGTAAATGTAAATGGCCTGCTGAATGCAAAAGACCCCAAATTTCATGGGGACTTGAGCTCTTCTGCCCCTAAAGCTTAATCCCCATCATTCCTCTGCAGAAGCTCCATCCCTGAATGCTCAGGGTGTCACTGAGGGAAAGAGAGCAGCAATCACCAAAGCATTCAAGTGCTCCCTGGGGACCCACAGTCCAACCCTTCCCAGCTGCCAGAGATCATTTTGGGTTAAATGATTGGGGGCTGCTCTCTGATAGAGAGTCCTTCTCCAAGAACAGACTCACTCCTGAACCTCCAGAGCCCTGGACAGACTCTGTGTGTGTGTGTTTGTGCAGAAGGAGATGAAAGAAGGAAGCAGGTGAGTCAGGGGAAATGCATCTCCTCATAAAGCACTCAGAATGATGCCACTAAATGTCACAGCCCTATGTTATTCTGGTTTTCCTGGCTCTTTCCCTGCTGAGAAATCTTCCAGATAGTTGCTGACCCGGATGATTCACCTCCATCCTAGCCATGGACACGTGAGGGTGAGGGATGAGGGAAGCAGGTTCCCCCTGTGATGTCCCTGGGACCCCCCCAGTGCCTCAGGATGCAGCCCAGGTTTGCACTGGGAATTTGGAGCAGCCTGGGATCAGCCACACACAGGAAGTTGGACAGGTCCCTGGAAGATGATCCTGGTGGAAAAGTCCTTCTCTGAGGGCCCTTTCAGGAGAAGAGCATCACCTGATCGCTGATATTCCTGCACTGCTGGTGTCCATCCCCACCGCCTGCAGGGGCCATGGGCTGAAGGGTCACCCCCACACTCACTCTCACCACTCTGGCTCCAGTAAAATGTACTGCCAGACCCTACTCTGAGGTGCCAGGGCTGCTTTTTCTCCTCCACCCATCAAACTGTGCTTGCAGTCCCAAAGTGGGGGTTCACAGCCTCAGGAATTACATCCTCAGGGTGGGTCTCATTTTGCTGCTTTGAGACTCCCTCCACATCCAGGAGAGACCTGGGCTCTCCCAGAGCAGTCAAGCTCCTCAGCTCCCTGCTAGAGACACCCCAAAATACCTTCTCATGCCACAGATTCACTATTTATTATGATGCACAGAGCCCACACGCTGTGCTGGGCCACCCACCCCTGTCCTCTGTCTGCAGCCAAAATGCTTCAGACAGAATCACAGAGTCACTGAGGGTTGGAAAAGACCTCCAAGATCACCAAGTCCAACCATCAGCCAGCACCACCACTGTGTTCACCTCTAACACACAGCCTGTCCTACTGGTGCACCCCCCCCCAGGATGGCCCCAAACCCCACCCCACACACAGAGAAATCTCCCCTGGCTGCTGGAAGGAGCCTGGGCTGGATAAAACCTCTCCACATCTTTGGAAGGGTGATCCATGGAGCCCCTGCCTGGATGCCTGAATGCATCCTGCCCTCTCTCAGCATCAACAGCAGGTTTATAACGTGAAGGGTTTTACCTTCTTCGGCTTCCAGATCCACCAGTGAAGATACCAACACGCCCATCTCCTGACATTTTTTGCTGTGGGCCTTTGACTTCATGTGTTTAGTCAGATTCCCTGAAAAGAAGCAGAAAATAGATTTTGGTCAAACGTGTCTCTTTTTTTTTTTTTTTTTCTAATTTTTATTTCATTAGTTGCAAGTTAGAACTGTGGCTCTGAGGTAGACAAAGATCTCTGACTGTCCCCAGGCCACTGTCCTTGACAAACACCCCGTGACACCAGGTCAAGTCCTCCCTTTATCCCTTTGCTGGGGTGCCAGAGGAGGTGCTGGAAGGAGGTTTGTGGGACCTTTCAGGTGTTGTGCAACCTGAAAAAGCCATCAGGGCACAGTTTTGGGCCTGGGGGGATGAGAAGTCCTGGGCTGATCTCAACTGTGATGGTGCAGCAAAGGGAAAAGAGTAGGAAAGTAGGGAAGAGAAACATCTCAGTGCAGCATCACCTCCCGCCTCATCCCAGCACACCCATCTGGAGGTGAGAAGCTCCTCAGCACCACAGGGTTGGTTCTACCCTGGTCCAAAACACCTGTAGATGTGGCACTTGGGGACATGGTTTAGTGGTGGCCTTGGCAGTGCTGGCTTAGGTTGGGCTCAGTGATCTTAGAGGGCTTGTCCAACCTCAACAATTTCATGATTCCACAATAAAATGAGGGTTTGAGTTGACAGCAACAGGGAAAAACCATTTAAAAGCCTATTTTTCCCCCAGCAGGATGGCTCAGGGGCTCTGGCATGGACCAAAGTGCCAGGGACAAGTTCTGAGGAGCCTCTGGGACACAGGGGCTGACAGCACTGAGCAAGTGAGGTTTTCTTGGGGTCAGGATGGGAAGAGCAGCCCCTGGGAGGGGCAGGAGGGGCTGTGGGGGAAGTTTATCCCTGCTCTGGGTCAGGGGGATGGGAAAACTATTGAGCATCATGGCCTCAGGGAGCTCCTCTTTATTTCCACCTCCCAGGTTAATTAGACAGTTATTAACCCCACTGACAGCCAAGGGAAATGCTGAACAAAGGGGAACATTTGTCCAAGGGGGAAAAGTAGGTGGAACAAAGAGAAAAATAAAAGGGTAGGAGAAATAAAGATAAAAGGTCCCATTTTACCTGCTGTCTCCACCTATTATAAATATATATATATATATAAATATATTATCAAATATATAATTCTAGATATTTATAATTATATATTTTTATATAAATATATTTATAAATGTATATGTATAATCAATCATAAATGGTTTGGGTTGGAAGGACCTTAAAGCCCATCCAGTTCCACCCCCTGCCATGGGCAGGGACACCTTCCACCAGTCCAGGGTGCTCCAAGCCCCGTCCAACCCGGCCTTGGACACTTCCAGGGATGGGATTTATGGGCTGAGGAGGATGAGAAGAAACCTGGGCTCTGCTGAAGCTCCACCAAGGGCTGTTTAACTCCCCATCATAGCCCAGGAGCTGCCTGAGCATTCCCCATTCCCAGGATGTGCCATCAGCCCTCCTGGTAGCTGACTTGGAGGGCAGGAAGGAACACCAGGCTTGCTTTTCTCTCCAAAATTAAAAAAAAAAAAAAAAAAAAATTCAGCCCCAAAGTGAATTCTCTGACTTTCTTCCAACGTTCACTGCAGGCTGAGGTCCCTCAGCTGGTGTCCTGCAATCCAGAGAGTCCCCAGGTCCCTGAGCTGGTGGGAGCACAGAGGGCCTCTATCAACCTCTGCTCTGCTGCTCTGGACAGCAGAAATAAATAAGCAACTGTTCAGTGGAGCAGAGAATTACCTGTGACGCCCTCACATCTCTGAAGAGTCCCATAACCACCTAACTCAGTTTCTCTTCAGCCCATGAATTATTTATTTAGCCCATTTTATACAAAATGGAATAGCTCCAACAGGAAAGACCAGGAGAGACAAAGGCTGACTATATATCCTCGTGTATCTGGCACCCAACCTGGATGTGGATTCAAGGGATATTTAATAATTTAAATGCGGCAAACCAGCTCCAGTGAGAGAGATTTATTATTTTAAAGCTGAAATACCCTCAGCCCCACAGTGAGGACACACTCAGGTGGGAGGAGGAGGCCAGCTTGGCTCAGGTCCTTGCTCCAAATCAAACCCCTCTTTCTCCACCTCGGACCAGGAGTTTTGTTGTGGGCCCAAAGACACCCGGGGAGACAAGAGCTGTTCTCGTGGTCACCTCTGGTTCCAGTGAATCACCATTGTTCCAATAAGAAAAACTGTTTCAATGAAAAGTCTCCAGCAAGTCCAACTTGTGGCCTCATGGAGCTGGAATTTCATGTTGGATCTAACTTGGAAAAACACAAACTGAGTCAAAGTGTTGAAATCAAGCCCTGCCTGTCCATCACACACATGCCAGCTCGGCTGGCAGAGGGACCCAGCTCTGCTCAGTCACCACAGCAAAAGCCCTGCCTGGAATCCCTCCAGGGGCAAGAAACAGAAAATCAGCCCCAGAAAAGCCTGCTGTGACCAGGGGGTGCTGCTTCTCCTGTGCTCTGTGGCACCCCTGCCCTCAGCTGCGGTGCCATGCTGGGATGAGTGGGGAGGGGGCACCCACCAGGAATTTTGGTGCTGCCACAGCCCCCAGACAAGCTCAGAAACTCCCTGTTCTACATCCACCCGGCTTTGGCTGCACCAGGAGGGCATGGCATTAATTCCTGAGGGGATAACATGGATTCCTGAGGGGAGGGGGCTGCTGAATGCAGGGTCTAGGGCAGGACTGCAGCCCCCCCTGTGCTGCAGGGCAGGGCCAGGGGGATGGGATCACTCGTGGGCATCACGGCCTCACCTCTCTAATTCCACCTCCCAAATGACAGGCAGGTTAATTAGACAGTAATTAACCCCACTTACAGCCAAGGCAAATGCTGAACAGAGGGGAACATTTATCCAAGGGGGGAAAGTGTTGGAACAGAGAGAAAAAATAAAGGGTAGGGGAAATAAAGCCAAAATTCTCAGTGACCACCGAGGCCCCCTCAGCTTCCCAAAGGCTGCTTGGACAGAAAGGTCCCTCCTACTGCCTCAGCTCCAGTGCTTTCCCATCCCTCTCCCTCTCCTCTGCTGCTGCAGGAGCAGGGCAGGGACGTGATCTCAGCCCCCAGCCCTCCAGCTCCATCTCCCTGCCCCTCTGCCGTGCCCCCGCTCCCTCCTGAGCTGCAGTTTGGGTTCCCAAACGCTGCCAGAAGCCACCAGTGCCACTTCCCCTTTCATCTGCCTTCCCTGGAGGCAGCTGTCCCTGTGCAAGGCATCCCTTGGCCACTGCCCTTCCTTCCCCAGCAGGCTCAGGGTGAGCTGGAGCCACAGCACGGGCAGTGCCAACCCCCATGCCAGAGAGTTCGTGCCAAGCACCAAAGCACCAACTCATTGCAGACGTTGCTTTCCTTCCCCCTCTCCTCTTTTTTCTGCTTTCTCTCTTCCCTCGTCCTCCTTTGGCCAAACACCAAAGCACCAACTCATTGCAAGTGTTGCTTTCCTTCCCCTTCTCCTTTTTTTTTCTGCTTCCACTCCACTCTTCACCCACCACTGATCAACAAGATCACCCTGCAAAGCTCCTTGGGGGCAAATCTCCCCCCCTGCCCATCCCAGCACACCAAGAGAAATCCCAACAAAACAGGGATGCTGGAATCCTTCCAGGGAAGGGAGATTCAGCAGGATGGATTCCCATCTGACCCCTCTGCAACGCTCCAAAGGGAGTTAAAAGCTGGAGGTTGCTCTCCACCAGCTGAGGAGCTGAGTGATCATCCTGGGAGCAATTTGGAGGAAAAGGATATTTATCTTATCAGGGCTCTCCCTCTAGTTTGTGGGTTTTTTTAGACCCCTTAATTAATGCTGGCAGGATTAAACTCCAAAGTCCTTCGGCAGATTTCCAGGAAAATCAACACCGCTTTGCCTGAGTAAAAGCTGGATATGAATCCTACCAGGAAAGACTCCCAGCTACTTGTTGCCTTCCAGAGATTTGGCTCCCAACTTAAAAAATAATAATAACAATAATAATAAAAAAGAAGAAAACCATATAGCATTGCCTCCTTGAAAACCCTGGGGAAAAAAAAAAACAAACAGCTATGAAGGAGCAAGAGAGAAACTACCAGGCAGGGATTTAGACAGCAGAGAACTTCACTGAACCCTAAGCAGGTAAATGGGTCTCACTAAGGACTGTTCACCAAATAATTCCCAGATTTGGAATAAACTGGCTATATTTCCATAATTTCAGGAATTGGTGGAGCCCTGTCCAGCCACTGGAGGAGCACAGGCAGTGTCAGCACAGCTCTCACCACGCCTGCCCACAGCTCTGGGTTCCAGCTGCTTAAGCCCTTCTGATGCTGTGAGGTCTTATTTTGGACTTCAAGCAGCTTAAATCCTTGTGTTGTTTGGAGAAGGCTAAAACTCCAGTGTTCCAAAAGCACCTAAAGCAGCTTAATAGGGACTAGGACTGATTTCCCAGTTCACTTTAAAGAGGGAAATTAATTTTTCGGAATATCCATGACCAGATTTTAAAGGTGGCAGAGTTACAGCAAAATGGAGGGAAGGGAAACATTAAGATTCCCCAAAAAATTGATCCTGTCTGTGCTGGGGATACACAAAGCTTTCTAGCTCTCCTATTAAATCTGATCAGTTCAGCAATAACAACAACAAAAAAAAAAACTCCAAACAAAACCAACTGTGTGATCTGAGCATCAAGGCAGCAACAGGACACAAACGCAGCTCCCAGGACTGAAGAATTCTCATATTTCTCCTTTAAAATAGTTTGCAAGAACAGCAACAGCTGCAGGAAACTCCCATTTTGACAGGCTGGGAGAGCTGGGGGGGTTCCCCTGGAGAAGAGAAGGATCCAGGAGAGCTGGAGAGGGACTGGGGACAAGGGATGGAGGGACAGGACACAGGGAATGGCTTCCCACTGCCAGAGGGCAGGGACAGATGGGATATTGAGAAGGAATTGTTGGCTGGGAGGGTGGGCAGGCCCTGGCACAGGTTGGGCAGAGAAGCTGTGGCTGCCCCTGGATCCCTGGAAGTGTCCAAGGCCAGGTTGGAGCACCCTGGGCTGGTGGAAGGTGTCCCTGCCCGTGGCAGGGGGTGGAATGAGATGATCTTTAAGGTGCCCTCCAGCCCAAACCATTCCAGCCTGTCATGATTTTGCTGTGAGATGCCCTCACACACAGAGAACCAGCCACAGGCCGATGCTCTTCATCCCAGATAGATCCTTGAAACAGATTTTATGTGGGATTTAAATAATGCACAGGCCTTGATTTAGGTCTCAGTGTGGAGATAATGTCCCCAAGTGAGACTTTAGGATAAGGAAAGCTTTAATTTATGTCATTCATTGGGCAAAATATTTCAATTTTAATTTTTTTTATTATTATCTTTTATACTTATTGACATAAAGATTAAAGGAGAGAATTTGCACTTCAGGCCTGCCTGTATTGACATGGGCTATAAAATATTAGTCACCTTCTGGATCAAACCTATCAAAACTGTTCTTCCAGAAGGGTACCCAGGCTGGGTGTGCAGGTTCCAAAATCCTGGGAATTAGCACATTTTCCATTAAGGCTTGTGCTGAGCCTTTAACAGCAGCACTATTTAGACAAAATCACAGTTAATATTTCACCGAGCTCACCAGTCCTTCACTTCCAGCACTCATTTCTTTTTTTTTTTTTTTTTTTTTTTAACCTTTCTCTGGTTAAAGAACCTTTTTTCCTCACAGTGTTTCATCTCCTGTCTGGACCATTGGGCCGTTTTGTGTTCCCAGAACACCATGTCGTGGAAGGGAACAGCAAATTCCTGAGGATAATTTTGTTCTCATCCCACTGGAGGCTCGAGAGGACCAAACCCTTCTCCCAGCAGTGGCTCCACAGGGATGCTCAGAGCCTTTCCCTCCTCCCAGTCATTAAGGAAGGGCCCCAGCACACAGGGATATTTTGCAAATCCACCTCTCACTCTGCCCTGCTCTCCCAGCACTTCATTCTCCTGTAGCTTCCAGCCAGTTGGACCCACTCTGTACTTTCCAGAGGAGGCTTAGCAGGAGCTGAGTCTCCTGGAGCAGTAACAACAATACACTGTGCAGCCACAGCCCTGCCTTTGAGGGCTGAGGGGGTAATGCTTTTAATATATTGGCATGTTCAATAACCTCCCTGCCTGTCAGGGGCTGATTTAAGGAACTGCAAACTCATTTATTAAAGGAAGGCTGTGGCTGAGGCCACGGAGAAGTCTGGTGTCTGGAAACTGTGAGTGGTCCAGACTGTCAAACGGGTCTCTTCAGCCAGCAGGCACTGGTGTCCTTCACACAAGCACCTTTGAAAGGATTATGAAGCTCCTCGTCCCTGGTGACCCCCGAGCAGAGGCAGCGGCGCTGGCACAGCGCGTTCCCCACACGGTGCCCGGAAATTCAGGGGCAAACTGAAGCAATCAGGACGTGAGAGACTGATGGGAGGCTGAACAGGAACAGCAAATAGCTGTGGAGAAGGAGAATGTCTGCATGGAGAGGGGACATTAATGTGCCAACGCTGCCCCACAGCCCCAGATCACCCAAGAGCGGGCTGGAAAATGAGGGAGACCAGGGAAGGCTGGGCAAGGAAGAAAAAAAAAAAGCTCTCCCTCTGACCTTCCTGAAAGGGAAAACTGTCAGACTGCAGCTTTTTCTCCATTTCCTTCCTGCTAAGAAAACAATGAAGAAGCTGCTTAACCTCTTTTAAACAACCTCATGGAGGCCACGATCACAAACCTCTTCAGGGAGCTCCACAGTGGAGGCAGAGACACCTCATTAAAGAGGCACCTTTATACCTGGTCCAGGAACAGAAAATCAAGACAATCCTTACAAAGCAAATTTCCAAGACTGTTGTTTCCATAAGCTAAACGAGCGCACACAAACACACACGCACACAAAAATAAATCTCACGGATTTGCTTTAAAATAATAATAAAAATAAATTTCCCCTGCAGTTCAGCAACCCAAAGGAACAGCTTTGCTTCCAGGGACAGAAAGGTATAAAAAGCAGACAATTAGTGAAAAGGGGAAAATGTTTTGTTGCAAAAGTTTTCCCAGTTCTTGGAACACAGATATGGATTTTCTGGAGTGGGAAGGGTTGGGGGGGGGGTGGTGAGGTACATTTTAACCAGATAAAGATCCTCATTAAAATTACTAATAAAAACCCATTTAACTGCTTCCAGCCTACTTGAGAGTTTAGAGCATTAGATCATGCTGGAGAGATCTACCACAGCCAAAATGAAGACAGCTCCACAGATATCCCCCTGGAGTTCATGCTGAAGGCTAAAATTAACTTTGGAAAGCTGACTTCTAAAAAAGCTTCAACTCAGCTCATATTTTTGCCAGTGCAGCCCAGTACAAAAAGCTGCAGCTTCTCCATTCTACAACAAGCTGTGGTTGCAAAACCATCCCCCAACCCCCCCCCGCTCCCAGTGAATCAGGGCCCAAACAAACCCATTCTAGACTGTCTGCAAAATGAGGGAAACATCCAGTCCTGCAAACCCCCTGCACCTCCAGGTCACCCTCCAGCACCACCAGCACTGATTCTGCAGCTGGTGGTTTTATCAACACACATTTTTTTTTTTCCATTCTCCAGCAGCTCTTCCAGAGGTCCTTGTTGTGTTTTTACCCAAAGCTCTGGGGAGGATCAACACCCCCCAGAGCACAGCCAGGCTCTGACTGTCCCCCCCTCCCAGCAAAGAGCCCTTTTCATGCAATTCCGAGTCACCATCATGCAACTATTTATCCTGAAAATCACTGATCCAGGGAGGTTCTGCCCGTTCCATGCATCCACAGGCGAATGGATACTTTCCCATTCAAATCCCAACAGGGGGTTGTTGGGTTTGGGTTTGGTTTTGGGTTTTTTGTTTTGTTTTGTTTTGTTTTGTTTTTTGAAGGAAGCATTTCCATGCTCCCTTCCCCATGCCAAGCCAAAGAAGGGAGGCTGTTTGCAATGGGTACAGTGAGTGCTGACAGATCTTGTGCTTCGAGGGAGCAGAGATGAAGAGCAAAGCAGCCAGAGGGGGGAGATGGTGAAAAGGATGGTTTGATCACAGCATCCTGAATAAAAGCCCGAGAGAAGCATGGTGGGAAGCGAGGTGAGGTGAAGGGAGAGGCTGAACGGATTCACCTCTCAAAGGGAAACCTCAGAACGAAGGAAAAGCAAGAGAGGAAGAGGAAGAAAATGAAGCAGAAATAGCTCCAGGCTGGGAGGGTGAGAAAGAACCATCACTCGGATCTGCAGCATGAGAATCTGGCCTCGAATTCAGTCTCACTTCCCCACACTGCCAGTGACAACCAACACGTTGTTACCCAGAAATCACCCCCCAGCTTTACCAGTAAAGCTCCAGGCACTGTCCACCCACAACCACCAGTGTCTGGGTCACTTCTCTAGCAGGGACATGCCCTCCACTGTCCCTTCTGGGCCAGCACACGTGCCACAGCCCAGGCAGCACCCAGTGCCTCCTGCCCACACCCACACTGTGCCACTCCCTTGGGTGACATCGGTTTTTGACTATCCCTGCTGTGGCATCTTCTGAGACCTGCAATGATGGAGCTACAGGCAATGGACATTTTAGCATATCCTCAGTTGGAAGGACCCCCAAAGATCATGCAGTCGAACCCCTGGCCCTGCAGAGACACCCCAGCAATCCCACCCTGTCCCTCAGAGTGTTGTCCAAACACTCCTGGAGCTCATTATTTACGTCAAACTATAATCAAGAAACTCAGCTCCTCATCTTTGTTACAAGACTTGCTGCACCCAAAGATGGAGGGGACATTGGTCAAACCCACTCCCACGAGAAGTTAAAGGGACCTGGGCACCTCTGGCACTTCTGAAAAGTCCCATTACCCACTGATTGTTGGTTTTTACATGTTCCTGACAATGTTCACTCACACACTCACTGAGGCAATGACAAAAGGCTCTTGCAAAGAATATCTAGTGGCAGTGAGGCTGTGGATCATTAATGACTAATTAATGGCAATTAATGTCCTGGAATGGAGGCCTTTAGAGAACAAAAGCCTACTGATATGATATAGAAAATGTGGAAGCCGCATGCAGCTGAGGGGGATGAAGATGGGCAGTGCCAACAGATCTCGAGAGCACCAGCATGAAAAGCCACCCAAAGATGCATCCAGGTGCTCCATCAGGGAGGTTTGCCTGGAGCTCCTGCTCTCATTATGGGGTGGTTTTGGGCGTGAACCCCGTGTTTCAGGCTCATTCCCTTTAAGAAGCACAAGTGGGACGGTGCAGGCCGGAACGTGCAGCCGCAAACGCAGGGCTCTTCTGAAAACATCAGCCACTTCCAGGCTCCCTCATCCCCCTCCCTCCAGCTCCTGGGAAGGCTTCCCCTTCCCCTGCACCCCCAGGAAGGCTCTTTAAGTGAGAGCAGAGAGGGGGGCCACGAGCTCTTACCTTTGGTTTTAAAAGCAAAGTTACAGTACTTGCAGACGTACGGCCTGACGTCTGTGTGCGTGCGAATGTGCTTCTTCAGCATGCTGGGTTTCTTGCAGCGAATTCCACACTCCTCACAAACATACTTCCCTCTTCCACGGCCTCGCACATACACATACTCTTCGTTTGATTTGTACCTATGAGCGACAGGTGTCATGATAAAGGCAAAAAAAAAAAAAAAAATCCAAAAAAAAAATAAAAAATAAAAAAAAAAAGAGCAGATTCCCACCTCCAAAAGAAGTCACCGCTTGCGTCACCGCGACACCCCCACGGGGCTCGTTTGCCGTTCGATAGCTCTGGGTTAGCAGCCTAAATGCAAAATATCTTCAGAAGCTTTTTTTTGTTTTGCCTCGTCTGGAATGTGTTGTGGTGTCCTACATCTGCTCCTGCGCGCGGGCAAACAGCCCAAGGGCTGAGATCAGTCACCCAAATGTCCGGACATTTGGTGTTCCCCATCCTCGAACACAAAGGGAGGCACTCGGGGTGCTCTGGGTAAGGTGTGGCCCAGCCCAGCCCAGCTGCCTCAGTCATCTCTCTCCCATAAAACATGCCCAGTCTGTCCCTGCACCGTGAAACGTCCTGAGGAACCTCCTGGGATCCAACCTGGCTGTATCCCAGCTAAAATTCCTGGGATCCAACCTTCCCACCCACTGGCACGAGGCAAAAGCCACCTGAGAAGACACTGATGCCACACTTCAAGCTGTAATCCCTGCCCAGACTCCTGATAGGATGGGACACCCAGAATGGACACAAAGAGAAGAAAACATCCATATTTTTGGATAAATAAATTGTGCTACCACTAAATGTAACCAGCACAGACTCCAGGCTCTTTCATCTTTGGCACAATATCATGGCTTAGGTTTACCCAAGAGACCAAGATTGGTCATCCATCCTTCCTTCACATTATACATTCACTTCTTTTCTGTCCAGGCAGCATGATGGGGGTTTGAAAAATACTTGTAAGACTGAGACAAGTCATTTAGTCTCCTGCTGCTCAGCAAATGAAGTCTGCAATTTCCTGTACTTGCAGCACAAGAAGAATAAGGTAACACAAAATTGGTCCCCTCAGATTTCCAAGAGGCCACGTTTTTGAAGCACTCTACTTCTTGCAACTCATTTTTCTATCCAGTAGGAATTAAGTCTGGTCTTCAGAAATCTCTAAACATCCATCTTGGAAAACCAGGCCTTCTAAAGCCCTCTTAATAGGGGATCCAAAGGCATACAACACCATCAGTCACCTTTTAGTATCTTCCCAATAAAGCCAGTTCCAAATCAGGATGATGAGAAAACAGCAGCCAGACTGACAAATAATTGAATAAAAACAGCTGCACTGGAATAGATTGAGCAATTAAATAAGTGAATATAGAATTAATCCTAAGCCCCTATGTATTCATAATGAAGGAAAAAAAAAGTCATTTAAAACTGAGTAAAAAAAATACACAAAGATGATTAATCCAGCCCTGAACTGATGGGATGAGAATGTCATGGTCTGCAAGGGATGCACCCGTGGAAATACATCCCAGCTACCTGCAAGAGTGGATTTAGAGGCAGGTAAGTCACAAGGACCCCTTGATGTCCCACCCAGGCAGAACATTGTTTCATTGCCTAGGAAGAGTCCAAGCAATCTCAACTCCACGTGGGTGTTTGGGGGACCTGCTACACCTGAAATTCAGATTAATCTTGCTGGGTGGCCCCTGGGAGGGGTGAGCTCAGGACTTAAACCCTTCCCCTCCTGCCAAGTGGTGCCTGAGCTCCGGGGCAGAGAGGGGAGCAGATGCTGAGAGGATGCTGAGTAGCCCATGCAGCCAGGTGATGAGGTCACAGACTGAGGTTTGGACACAGACTAGAGAAGAGAGAGGAAAATGGGTGTCTAGAGAGCCCCAGTTTGTACCAGCATCAGCACCACCAGGTCCCAGTGTCCAACATGGGAGGGAACAGTTTGTGTTTCTGTCCTTCAGCATCAGGAGTCCTCTAGATCACAACCAGGGGCATCTGGTAGCCCACATACTCTATTTTATCCCCTGTGATTGAAGCCACAGCAATGCCATCTACTCCATGCCATTCCCAACCCTCCAAAAAACAAACTCAACCCCCCAAAAATCTCCAAACTCCAACATCAATACCCTTCATCCCAAGGTTCTCATTATCTGGCCAGAGGGGACTGAGCTGAGGTCTGCAGAGCCCCCACTGTCTCCCAGCCTCCAGCCCAGTATGCCCAGTTATCTCCGTGCCAGGGCACACATAACTAATTGTTGGGGATGGCCCATGTCCCTTTTTCAGCTGGTGACTTAATTTTCAAGCAGCAAAAAGAATCAGGAGTCCTGATTTCTCCTCCTCTGTTCAGGTTTGTATTTGAGGTTTCCTTCTCGCCCTCCTTTCTCCCTGTCATTATTCTGGTAATCACCTGGCCATTTAAAACATGAAATTGCTCCTTTATCAGCCTTGTACTTGCACTACCCCTAATTACACTCTCACATGGAAATCTCCGAGCAGGTTCTTTGTGTCCAACAGTCCCTTCATCAGCCTCATTAAAGCAATTGGGGCTGGCTCCTCCTGCAGAAAGGGGGACATTTGATTTAATCTGAAATTAAACACTGCAGCTTATCTGACACCCTGGGAGACTGAGCCCTCCTTCAGCACAGGCATCTGCCTACAGTGTCAAACAGGCAGGGAGAGCAGAGAAATAGGAAAAAAAAAGGAACCTAAAGGAACACCAAACCAAAGCAGGAGAGAGCAAGAGGGGACAATGCCATAACACAGAGAATGCTGCTGCAGATGCCATCTGCCTGCACTGAAGGCTGCAGTGTATTTATGGAAATAACTGCTTCAACATGATGCTGGTTCCTCTGCTCATGTGCTCATATGATTTGCATCAGAGGGACAAATCAGTGACAGCTCGCTCCGTGTGAGGATTTGCCCTGGACAAAGGATCCTCCTGCTGGAACCAGATCCCACAAAAAGCCACAGCTGGAGTTTGTGTCAGCAGATCTGGCCTCCCCTCCCAGAGCACTGTGGAATTCATAATCCCATCGTTAGCAACTCACACCTCCTGCAGAGCCACACTCCATCTAACACCGAGAGGATCTGAGAGGCTGGGGGAGAAATGGCCATTATGAGCCCAGAGACTAATTTAGGAAATAGTTCTTTCAAACAGACACAGAAAAAGATTAAAATTGAGTCATTTGATGCATTTCTGAACGCTTATTTGCTGGGTTCCGTTCAATTTTGTCCAACCACCACAAACACTTCCCAGAGCGGGAGGAACTGGCACAGCCATGGCATGACCACCAGCAGCACCAGATTCAGAGGCCTGAGGGCCCCCAAATGGCAGGAGGCACAAGAAACCCAGCAATGGAAAAACATGGACCTGGAGAAAGCTTTGTCTCAGCTCTTTCCCTAACACTGAGCTGAAACCCAAAGCCACGAAGCATTTCTTCCTTTGAGGCTTTTAGGAGGTTTAGCTCTCAGTATCTGCTGTTACAAATACCTGACCATCCTGTTTAGCCACAGACACTTCTTTTTTTTTTTTTTTTTTTTTTTTTTTTTTTTTTTTTTTTTTTTTTTCTTCTCTCAGTGTTCTGAGCCACATCCAAAATCTTCATGTGGCTGAAAACCACACGATAAAACCTTGGCCAGCCAGGGGAGGGAAGGAAGTTTGGTGGTTTGCAGACAGGAAAGAGGGAGCAGGTTTCTGGGGGGGGGGGACTCATTGCTCCCAGCTGGGCTGAATCACCCCTTCTACCCTGCTTCCTTCAGCCCCCAGGAATTTGCCTTGCCCTGCAAAGTCTCTGCTGGTGTGATCTTGCTGCTCACACCCTCCCAGTGGTTACACTTCTTTGCAAGCGTCACGTAGGCAGCGAGTGTGAATTCCACCATTTGCAGCTGGATCAGGGTAAAAAAAACACCCCTGGACAGTTTTGCAGCTACTGGACAAGTATTTCCTCAACTGCTTTTGATATTTGATAAACTCCCTTGTTTGCTTTTTGGATTTGGGGTCCATAGTAACAGGAATGGGATATCTGATCCCTTTCCTTCAGCTCACCCTCAAGTGAACTCAGGGTTGTTGCCTCCCCTGTCAGTCTTTGGGTTTTACTGGTGGCACATTTCATCTGTCATCAGGCTGCCCCTCATCTGCCTTGCCTGAACCCTTAGGAAGTTCCTGACAGACTGTCCTGGGTTTAACTCATCTAATTTATGTTTTATGACACCTGCAGAATTGGCCAGGTCACGGATAAATGTGTAACTACCACAGTGGCACTAATTTTATGAAGTTTATTGCCCTTCTCATAACTCCCCCTAAATGTTTAGACCCCTTTTGAATTATTAGGCCACTTCTGAAACTGTGTGTGCAGCAGAAGTCCTTGGTCTTACCCACTGCATCCCTGGGGACACTCCAGGTGGGAGGCCCTGCAGGACCGTGCCGAGGGTCACCACACACAGAGGTGTCCTCAGGGCCAGACAGTCACTGAAATCTCCCCTAACTCAAGCCAAGCTACAACAGAACAAACAGCAGGATTCCTTTACAAAACCCAGACCAGACAATGTAATTTCCAGGTTTCTAAAAGCATCATAAAACCCTCCAGTGTCCCAATTTACCAGACAGGGATATACTGCACCAAGACAAACAAGGAACTTCCAAAGAATGGTACAGCACAACAGAGGAAGGGCTGGGCATGGAGACAGGCCCTGGCACAGAAATCTCCTCTTTCCTGGCTGCAGTGATGGATCTTTTGCAGACAGAAGTTGCCAATCTCCAGTGGAATTGCAGGAGAAGAGTCTGAGCTGAACGAGCCCCCACCATTCAGAATGGAATGATGGAATCATTCACCCAAGGAATGATGGTGGCACTGTGACCATCAGTGCTAGAATCAGGTCCCAGCAGCTCAAACAAGGTTTAACACTGGCAAGTTTTACACTACCCAGCAAACCCAGGGCTCCTTCTTGGTCAAACATCAAGGTGCAGAGTGGAATTTAATTCAGATAACAAATCAGGATCTGTGCAGAGATCAATTAACTCCCCTCTCTTTGAGTCCAGACATCCATCCAGCTTTATCCCAGCACTGTCTGTGCTGCTGCCCAAGCCACGAGCAGCCGGTGTCTCCAGGAAAATGCTGTGGGAAATGGTGTCAAAGGCTTT